GTTGAATCAGTAACCAGGTTATGCATATTAATGACCATTTAGGCCAATCCCATTTAAAATTCTTTGCTAATCTACAAGAATAACTTTTAAACTTTGATTTCCCACTTGAAGCAAAGGAAGGCAAGAATGTTAACACAAATATAGAGTTTCCAATGACTAAATAGTGTGAATACCAAAAAATACAAAAGGTGGAATTTCTTGTGCTATTTAATTATATACCAAGAATCGTAGAAAGTTATGTGTAGGTTACAGGAATCAAGACCAATATAGAAAAATCAACTGCATTTTCTATTTCAGTAATCAACACATAAAAATGAAATTTCAAAAAAAAAAGAATTTATATTAGCATTAAACAGAAAATACTTGAGAAATTTTTTTTAAATGTGCAAAACCTTTACACTGAAAACTACAGAATGTTGCTGACAGAACTTGAAAAAAATCATAAATAAATATAAGATGTTCATGGATTGGAAGACTCAGTACTATGAAGAAATTAAATAAATCTCCCCAAATTGATATATAGATTAAATTCAATCCCATTCAATATTTCAACAAGCTTTCTGTGTAGAAATTGACAAGCTGATTCTGAAATTTATATTGAAATGCAAAGGATTTAGAACAGCCAAGCAATACTGAGGAAGAAGAACAAAGATGGAGAGCTTGCATTACCTGATCTCAAGACTTCCATAATGCTAAAGAATAAATACAATGTGGTACTGGCACAAACAAAACAAAGAAATCAATGGAACACAATAGCTTGGATACAAAGTGACTCATGTGCAATCAATAGATTTTCAATAATTGTGCCAAGATCATTCAATAAGGAAAAGAAGATATTTTAACAAATTTTCTGTAAGAACTTGGTGAATGCATGAAACAAAATGTATTTCAACTCCTATTATTATCTCACACCATACACAAAAGTTAGTTTGAGATACATCATAATCCTAGATATAAGAGCTAAACCTATGAAATTTGTAGACAAAAACATGTAAGAACATCTTTGATCTTGAGTGCAGGTAAAGATTTTTTAGATGTGACACAAAAAGCAATTATCATAAAAGGGAAAAAAGATTAATCAGACTTTTATAATTTAGTAATGTCTGTTCACCAGACATTTAAAGAAATGAATAGCCAAATTGCAAACTAGGAGAAAATATTTGCAATGCGTATATCTGACAAAGGATGTGTATTGAAAATATATGAAAAGCTCCTACCTATTACTCAATAATAAAAAGACAAACAACCAAGACTTTTTTAAAGTAGACAAAAGACATGAACAGATACCTCACAAAGGAAGATATATAAATGACCAATAAGCACATTAAAAGTGTTTGACATCATTAGTCAACTTGGAAATGCAAATTAAAGCCATAATGAAATACTTTTCTACATCCACTAGAATGGCTAAAATTTTGAAAACTGACAAAAACAAATATTGGAGAGACTGTGGAATTTATTTATGTTGCTTTAGGGAATGCAAAAGAATGCAGCTACTTTGGAAAATATTTTGACCATTCCTTACATAGTTAAAAATACTCCCAACTTTATGACCCAGCAATTCTACTCCCAGGCATTTACCAAGATAAGTAAAACATATGTTGGCCAAAACAAAAACAAAAAAAGAATGTTCATGAAAGCTTTATTCAAAATAGCACACACACACACACACACACACACATCAAGAGGAGAATAGATAAATTGTGGAACTTTTGTATAGCAGAATACTACTCAGCAATAAAAAGCAAGGAGCTATTCTGCTTTATATGCAAGAAATGGATATATTTCAAAAACAATATGCTGTGTAAGAGAAGCCAGACACACACACAAAATACACACATCTGCTCCATTTATATGAAGTTTAAAAATAGGCAAAACTAAAATAGGAAAAGTGGGTCCCTGGAATGGGAAGTTGGATGAACTGGCACATGGGAGTTTTCTCAGGATTGATAAATTATATCTTAATAGGTGTGTGGGTTATACAGGTGTTTGTATTGTCAAAACCCCCTGAACTGTATAACACTTAATGTCTGCATTTCACAGTATGTAAAATAGACATCATTTTTAAAAATTAGAAGAAAAAAATCATAATTTCTTGTAAAAATCATTCAGCCAGGATCCTTTCAGAAATAAAAATGATTATCATGTTAAGAATGTAGGCTTTTAGGCGATTTTTTAAAGTTTTTGCTTCCACTATCTATTCAGCAATTATTGAGTACCTACTCTGTGTCTGTCATTGTCCTAGGCATTTTGAACACATCAGTGAGCAAAACAGGCATCAATTTAACAATCTATAGGAGTAGAGAGGAAGACAGAAAATCAGGAAAACCGTAATAAATAAGTAAATGGTGTAGTGCTTAAAAAACTGAGAAGTTCTATGAAAGAGAGAAAGCCTGAAATGTTGCCATATTGTGCTCAAGCTGCATGACATGAGTGTTTAAAAAGTTATACCTATATTTACAAATTAGTAGTTTTTGTCCTTAGTAATTGATTGATAATGCATTAGAAGCATTCTAGAAATAGGGGTATGTGTGTGTTTGTGTGTGTGTGTGTGTGCGCACGCACACTGGTTTATCTTCTTGCTTTATTCCTTAATAATTTAATGCCTGAATAAACATATATCAAAATGTCACTGGGGGGGGTGAAAAGGTTGGTTTCAAGGACATTGTGTTCAATGCTAATCACATCTCATGTGCTACTGAGTCATAGCCACATTGAGTTATCAAGTCAAAGAGCAGCCCTTTTTGTCTTCTGTATAAAAGACAAGCTGCTCAAATGTTACAGAATTCAGACGCCCAAGTCATTAAATGTGGTTGTACATAAAAGATGCAGCACTGATAATTCAAAATAGGCAAGAAGAATGTGCTCGAGAAATAATTCTTCTACAAGCCATAGTATCTGGCACAAAACATAAATAAAGCCCTATTTTTCTCCTTCAGTGCCCTGCCGTGAAGGAGTCACTGAGCCAATTTGTTAATCTGCCAGTAACAGCAAGTTTTGGGAAGGCCTTCAGCTATGGAAAGACTCTTTCTGTATTTTTTAACAAGACATAGACAGAGAATACAAGAAATCCCCCAACAAAAAGCAAAAGCACCAACAATTCAAAAGGCTCTGAGATGAAAGTATCCAACATTCTGAAAGATGAAGCCCTGTGTTGTTTTTCTATAGCTAAAAACAAACCCGAAATAAAGTGTTTTTAATGTCTTGTTCTTATTTGTTGTTCTTAATTACATATCTTGGAAAAATCCATCTCTAATCAAGCTCTATAGATATACTAATGGACCTCCAATCCTAAATCTATACGGTATGAGACGATTCTTTCATGATAACATGTGTCTTTGCCAGCTACAGCTTATGCTTTCCTGCCTCTTTGCCTGTACGTATATGAATCTGCTCACTTGGACAGCCTGCTGAAATGCTACCTACATTTCTAGTTCCCATTCAGATCCTTTTCCTGGATGAAGTCTTCCTCAACCAACAAAAACCAAAAGTAACTTGCCCCCACCCCTACCCCTTCAGCTCACAAAGCATGATTTTCAGTCCCACTTATCTGGTCTAGAATTGTACCAGCACATTTCCTGACTACAATGACCTCTCTTGGGAGGCTCATAGCCCAGTTAGAGAAAGAATTGTAGGCTACACACAGACCCCAGTTAAAACTCAGATTGCATTCTTGAAATTCTCAAAATTGAATTGCAAATTTTGTTATTAGAGCTATTATGAATAATGATTCTTGGCCAGCCCACAAAAGCTCATCTAGCCCACATAACACTTGAAGTATAGTATTCATAGCACCCTTTTCAAAATTATTTTCCTGAAAACATGTATTTTCTCAGAAAAAAATATTTTATATGATGCTGTTCTACTCATACAATGCCAACATGAGTTGATCAAAAATGTTTAGGTGATCAAAAAATGTTTAAGTGGTTGTTGATGATGAAAGATTCTATCAAATCCCACGAATTGGTATATGTCCTCCTAAGGAATCCACAGGAATGATCCTCCCCTATGGTTCCTGAGTCTCTACTCAGCAGCTTCTGTGAAACCCCATATGAATTTCAAATACTGCATTCTTTCTATCACTTGAGAAAACATCTGGAAGGGTGCAGTGAGGAAGCTGGGTATTGACCATATGGTGGAACCATCTTACCTCAGCTTCCTAGATATTTCTATTAAAGGGACTTGGGCTTGTTTTAAGCTATTAAATAGAGTCAACACGCTGCTTCATTTGGGTTGGATTCACAAAAGCACGTAAGTTTTAATAAGATAATGCTATTTGGCCCTTTTAGCATCTTCTCTCATGCTGCTCACGTACTAAAGCATTCAATAGCAAAGGTGTTTAAAGATAAAGCAGAGGTACGCCTGGGTGGTCCAGTCAGTAAAGCATTTGACTCTTGATTTCAGCTCAGGTCAGATCTCAGGATTGTGAGATAGAGCCCCGCATCAAGCTCCGCACCGGGCATGGAGCTTACTTGAGATTCTCTCTCTCCCTTGCCCTCTGCTCCTCCCCCCTCCCCCTGTCCTTCTCTTAAAAAAAAGGTAAAGCAGAAGGAAAATATCTGGTTCATATATGGGTGGCTTCAATCTGAAAAATGTCAATAAAAATATGGAAATAACAGGGCACCTGGTTGGCTCAGTTGGTTAAGCGACTGCCTTCGGCTCAGGTCATGATCCTGGAGTCCCGGGATCGAGTCCCACATCGGGCTCCCTGCTCAGCGGGGGGTCTGCTTCTCCCTCTGACCCTCTTCCCTCTCGTGCTCTCTATCTCTCATTCTCTCTCTCTCAAATAAATAAATAAAATCTTTAAAAAAATATGGAAATAACAAAGAGTTTAAAATGAAGGAGATTACAAAAATTAAGCTAGTTTTCTGCTCATTTCCTTTTCCTTCTATTCCTTTTAGATGAGCCTAGATTTTTCCTTAGTAATCAATGCAGTTTGTGAAAACACAATCTTTCTCTGAAAGCCCAGTTCTGTGGCAGAAATTAAGAGTTTCTCTTACCTCTTAGTTCCCCCATATCCAGAGTTGTCCCAAGTTGTTCTAATAAAGCAACTCTTGCTGCATTCTTTTTGTGTTTCTTGCCATCATAATGTTGCTGGGCCATGAGAGGATTGTTAAACCAGGCTGCACAGAGCCCACAGTATCTGTCTGAATCTCTTCTTTGATAGGGAGATGCAACCACTGGAGCAGTGTCCACCCTTGGAGGCTTAAGTGAGTTCAGGGGTGTTGCTGTGAAGGAAAACAACCAGAGAGAACCACAGGCCAGGTTAGTCCATTACTGAGTATACTCATTTTTAATAGCTGAAGATGGAAGAGTCTCATGTTCATTCTAGAGCTGGAAATCCAGAGTTTACTGAAAGCAGGAAAATGATTTTTGCCAGTCCTCATTTTTGAAGCAGGAATACAAGTGAAAATTCCTAATTTATTGAGATCAGATTTCTCACATTGTTCTGTTTAAATCTGATAGTTTAGGAGACCATCCCTTAGGTAAAAATGAAGATTTTCAAAAATAAACTCTTGGAGGTAAGGGAGGAATCCATTAATCAAATTGCAGCCAAAACTTAAAGTAAACATTGAACAAAAATGGCTTGAAAGATTCTGAATGAATGAATTAGACATTCGTATGTTAAAACTGGAAATAACCAATATATAAAGGATTTGCCCAAGTGATAGAAGCAGATCTTTCAGTTACAAGGACTGTATCAGTCGACAAAATCATGCTAATTTTATTGCCAGTTTCTTCTGTTTACTGTGATAGGTTATTTTCAAGCATACCTGCTAAAATTGATGTTGAAAGTACAATATTGTTTTAAAAGACCAAAAGACAAACAGTGTAGAACAGATGTTGCTTATCTAAACTGAAAAGGCATAATATCACTATTTTAAAATTGCACAGCCCCAGCTATTAATTTAACACATTCCACTGTGAGCTTTCAGTTATTTTTGGCCCAGAAGCAAAAAAGAACCTAACTTGAAGGAGTTTACTAACAGAAAGTAAAAATAACTTCTTTCTGTATTAGAATATACAACTTGCTTTCATCCTCACAGTAACAATGACTTAGTTACTGTTCCATATCTCACACGATGGACTTCAGAGATGCCGAATCATTCACTGGATGATGACATATCTAGTTATGGTAAAGGCAGGACTCCAAACCAAATCCTTAATTTCCAAGGCCCATGTTCCTTACAATACCTCTAAGACCCTTTTTATGCTTCTTAATAAGCAATTTTATAATAAACAAATTTATATATTCTTCTAGACCTCAGTCATCTTTGTTCTATATAGAATTAAATTTAATTTTGGAAAAAGGTTCTAATCCAAAATATTTTACAAAAGAAAAAGCACTTTAAATTCTCATAAGGCCCATTAGTCACAATGCAATATAGCAGTACCTTCTGCTATGTAGGAGTGCAGTTGGCAAAACCATGAATATTAGGGTCATTCCAAGGAAAAGCTGAAATCTGGAACATCAATAACAAGTAAACAATCAACTCCCCAAGCTTTCAAATCATTTTAAGGTGGGCTTTTTTTTTTCAGATTAAATAACAGATATACAAATAAATACTTGCTAAATAACATTTTGATTCAAGAAATGATTGGTATTGTAGCAATATCTTGAAAAAGTCTTTTCTTCTCTATCCAGAGATTTCATCAGATAGGGAGGTTTTAGCTAGCTTAGATGAAACTAAATGATACTATTTCTGTTGGGACTTAGAGAAGTAGTATGTCTTTTAAAAGCCTTATTGCCCGATTCAGTCATATATCACCATGTGAAAATAAAGCTCAAAAGTGGGCCATAACACCCCAGCAGCCAGCCAGTATCACCTGTCATGACTTAGAAATGCTAATAAAAGCTACAAAGTTGACCCGTATGTAAAAGGACTTCTACCCACTTTTCTGAAGAAGATTGAATCTTGTTTCCAAAGTTTCCTGCAACCTTATCAATTTCTGAGGATTTATATTGATCTATTGTTTTTTATGGCAATGGAAAACCTATCAAATGTCTGCCATCAGAATGAATGCTGACTCTTAAAGCATAACTTACTTTTCTCTAAACCGGGCCCTAAAAAAACATCTGAGTCAATTTTATCTATTGACACCCTACATACCACTTCTGGCAGGAGTGATGCAAAATAGAAAATCCATCAAATAAGATAATCTTATCTTTCACACAAGAAAGTAAGTTAATGCTGCATCTGTATTATAGCTTCGTCTCCTTAATACAGCTCCAAAGTTTAATTTTTCTTATGCTCTATTTCCAACTGTCACCAATCTCAACCCAGTTTATATTTCCTACAAAGGCAGCAACATGAGGGAGTGGAAACCACCTTGACTCAAAGTCAGAAATCAAGACTGCGTCGGACTCCATCACCCACCAAGCTGTGTGACCTTTGGCAAACCTCTGATGTCTCTGGTTTCAACAAGGTTAAAATTCAGGGTTACCATTTCTTTAAAACCCATAGTGTAGGGATGAAACAAATTATAGAAGCTCTCTCTCACTCTTTTATGGCTTTGACTGGATGTCAAATAGTGAGGTTATATGGGAAGAGAGCAGTTTCCAGGTAATAATGCTAAATCTGTGTGTGAGCATGGATCATAACACCCATAGTTCTTTGGCAAAAGTATATAATTCTAATAAAATGAATACAAAGTAGGGGAAACATTACTGTTTGGTTTGAAAACATGTTTGTGACAAAATAGTTGATGTATAGTTTATTATTTAAATTTCATGCTTTATATTTTTATTTTAATTGCAAAAATATTTAACTAAATATTGACTTTACCTCCTCTCTTTACAACTTAAAACCAAGAGTTCATTCATCAAAACCAGTAGTTTTCAACCTTGGGCAAGCATTAGACTCAGGAGGAACTTTAAGAATCTCTAAGTCCAGGCTGTCCCCAGACCAATTCTGTTCAATTACATCAGAATCTTGGGGTAGGAGCCAGGCATCAGGATGCTTTAATGCCCTCTTCCCACACCACCGGTCCGTGTTTCCAAAATACAGCTAATGTTGAGAAGCATTGATACAAATATTACCAGACTTTGTTTGAAAATAACTGTATGATCGTTCTCCTAGATCTTCAAATAAAAGAAAGTCACATACTACATCCCACAGCAACAGGGCCAATTATTTTGTAGGCAATGACTGAAATGCCACATCTTTATCTATGAAGCAGAAGGAAATAATAATCACTTGGCATTTTTTTAAAACCCTGATCAATTTCTCCATTTCTCCAAGATATAAAAGTTTCTCCATAATAGCAGCTAATGTTATAAATTAATATTATAAAAGTTAAATAACAATTCTGATCCCTTATCCCAAGCAGAAACTCATATACATATTGAGCTGCTGAGGCACGGTACCACCTACCTTTGATTGGCACCATCCCCAGCCTGGTCAACCATCCCTCTCCTCCTAGCTAAACACCTGCCCCGCAGGGTGCTGTTCAGTCCCATCTGCTCTGTGAGGCCTTGACAACCCAAGCAAGTAGTAGTTCTCCCTCCTCTAAACTCAAAGCACTTATTAACCGCACAATTCATTTGACATTTCTTAAATAGCGCCTTATAATCTTAGTTGTGTACACCTGTGCGTGTATGTGTGCATGTATAAGGGAAATTAGATCATAACACTTACACTTCAATACTTGATATTTTGGTGTGTGCTGTCTTCTCTAATACATGTCCACAATCCCTTGTTTCAACTCAGAAAAAAATCAAAAGCCTCTAAAATTCAAATTTTTCTTCATGATTCATTTTTTATTAAAACCTGACCTGAATTCAGAAGAGGCTATTTATAGTCTTTACAGAAATATATATATAGTTTATATAAATATTACATATATATTTATATAAGTATATATGAATATAAATTTATGAATAAAATAAAAATAAGTAAATAAAACGTGAATAAAATATATAATATATATTATGTGATATATATAATCACTTAGTGTAAACATACATACATGTTGCAATAGAATTTATTAATGTCTCTAAACATAGAGTTCTGTCTTAGATCTATTGAAACATAACATATGGTATCTGTACCTAGTTACATATCTAAAATCCTAAAATTTCTGATTCTCAAAATACATTTAGCCCCCAGTATTTTGAACAGAAGATCATGGATCTGTAGCCAATTCGGAGTAACTGAAATAAACTCAAGTTGTTCAAATACTTGAGACAATCGAAACAAGTCAGTCTCCAAAACTTGATTTCTAAGAATTACCTGACATCAATCATTTTCAATATCCCTTTTATGTCTTGCATCATGTTTGTCAAGAAGCAAATTCTCAACAGCTATTTATAGACTGTTGGCTAAGTTGTCTTGAATAATAGTGTAGAATAATATGCATCTCTGTCCTATATTTGTTTCTTTCTGGTAGAATAACCTCAGTTGATCTAAGGACAAAAATACTTCCAGTGCACCTGGTGTGTGCCTCTCTCGGAACACTTCCTCACTCTGTAATGTAACACTGTGTACAACCAGACTCTCCATGAGTCAGCACGTTGCATGATGCCACTCACATAATGTATATAGCCCATGCCTTTTGCTAAATGAATGAATGGATGGATGGATGCTCTTTGCATTAGAAGTGAATAAAGTACTGGTAACCAAGAGTTTTCTTGTTTCTTCTAAATTGTGTCATTTAGGGCTTGAATACTAGTCAATATAAACATAAATACTAGCAACCCAGTGACAAAATTCTGGGTAGAGGTGTGTGTGTGGGGGGGTGAAGGCTAAATTGTAGAAAGGCAACATATCCAAGTGTAGACACATCCCAGTTGCCCTGTCTTGTGGATTCAATTGGATATACAGGAAGTCAGTATTATCTCAAATTTCTATTTGCTGGGGTGGCCTATTTCTACGTATTTTTTAGAGAGTTCAAATTATGCACATCATTCTGGAAATTTTACTTTCAAACAGGAAACCATTTACTCTGTTCATTTAGCATGGCATCTAAACTCCTCACTCCAAGGTTCTGGCTCAGTACCACATCCCAGTTTGCCTGGAACTGACAAGGTTTATAGGACATGGGACTTTCAATGCTAAAACAGGGACAATCCAAGACAAATTGGAATGAGTTGGCCACCCTAGCTTCTGGGGTCAGACCTGATTTAACATCACACCGGAGAGAGGGATTAGTAAAAATTTTGGAAATAATTGCTTGGGAGACTAGAGCAGGTCTTCTTTCAATCAACCAGACAGAACCTAGCAACAAA